GATATATGGAGACGCTGCTGGAATGATGCTAACAGAAATGGAAAGATCACAATGGGAAAATTGAAATCATCTCTTTCGTCGTAAAATTTAGTTTTAAACCAACATTTATTGCCAATTCTAGATGCAATTTAGGTATGCGCCATACTTTACTGAATATTTGGGTATGCTTTATTTCCAGTTCATTGGGAGAGATATAGTCAACAAAGTTTGAATTATTTAGTGAACGGAAACCATCGTTATAGCCAAAAATGACGGGTCTTTAGTTTTATATGTTTTGTATACTGTTGATTGTCTTTTTGTCGTTTGTTTTTGTCCTGAAGTTCGACTTATGAGTTTGAATGCCCTTTGGTATCTGTAATCTCTCACTTAAGAATAATGTCTCATTATTTTCATTTCCTTGAGATAAGCCCGGTTTTTGTTGCTGATAAAATAGTTAATAATTTTTTTCATGGATCATTTGGGGGCAACCCATCAATACCATGGATATCCATTATTTGAAGTTATGATTTTTATTTCGGCAGTTTAAGAACTTTGAATGTGCTTCTATTAGCTTTTGATTTATTTGATTGTATATACTATGGAGATATTTTGTAATTAGGTAATACTCCTGTAATTTGTTCTATGAACCTCTGATTGTTTTCTTGATCGAGATCAAAATCGGGGTGATTCGGCGTAATGTGTCTGTTACTAATGAGGAACCTTGAACCTTGTACAAAACAGTCGCATTCAGTCGAGTTGTTAGATTAAGTTAAATATTTTTTAGCTCAAGACTTTTTTTTTATCAAAATGTATTATTCAAATCATGCCATAACCGATGCGCTTTATCTTGGGCGGGATATACCTTTACAGACTGACAGTCTACAAACAGTCACAAGTAAAGGAATATTAGTCTGAAAAAGAGAGGCGAAAGATATCAACCAAGTATTTATTAAAGCATTCAAATTCATAAGTTGAAAATAAACTGACAACGTTATGGCTTAAAACAAAAAGACAAACAGACAAACGAAAGTACACAGAACACAACATAGAAAACTTAAGACTGAACAACACGAACCCCACCAAAAAAATGAGAGTAATCGGAGGTGCTCAAGAAGGGTAAGCAGATCCTGAAATGGTAATTTTGATCTGAGCATCATTTGAAAAGCCCGAACAATAAATTATTCAGTTATGTTCAGTGTTTCAAATAATTTTAGACTTCTCATCTGCGGTAAATTCAGTACTTTTTAAACAATTCAGTACTATTCTGTAGTTTTTCCGACAAATCAGTATGATGTTGATGTTTACAGCGTGAACAAGTCTGCACGGATCTTGATTGACTGCAAGCAAATAGTCTAAAAAATACTATGTTTAACGCAGTGGATCTGTCCGAAAGTTGTCTGAAAGACTGAACATAACTTAATTATTTTTTGTTCAGTCAATAAGAATCTGTTCAGATTAAAATGACCGTTTCAAATCATAATCTATTGACTAGTGAGTGGTATATACCCAGGATGTATAAGAACCAAAATAGTTGCAGAGCTATATGACCGAAAAAGACCTAAAATAATAGCCAAATCCATCTAAAGTCAACTTTACCTGAGGGAGTTGATTAGTTTCTTAATAAGTTATGTATTTATAAATGGATATTTAGAAAAGTTCGTATGAAGTCTATCAGGTGGTTCTGATATGCACTTCATTACACATTATAGAAAAGACTAAATATGAATTTTAAGAGAAAAGTACACATTAACGTTAAGAGGTGCTAAACTTGACATCTCTCTGTTGAATTTGTTAATTTTTAGTGACTGATGTTTAGTAGCTTTAATGAATACTTACCTTCGTTGATATATAGTTTTCTGCTTGATTGCTTATTACCTTGGGCTATAAGTTTAGAACTTATATTATTGTTTACCTGGGCTGATAGTTGAGAACTTGAAATTATATTTGTCACAATGGTTAAGAGCTTGTTTTATTCTGGGCTTGTAGATTAAAGCTAACGCCTGATTTTTCTCCGTTTATAATTTTAAGCTTGTCATATTTTACCTAGACTGATGGTTTATAAGTACCGATTATCAGGTTGTCAGCATATTGATATTGTAAAAAATCAGCCGCGAGTCATAATATGATGCTTTGTGTAGAGTGAGTGCAGCGAACGAGTTCAAAAAGGCTTCATGTTGTGTCAAGCAGCTGATATTTTTCAATATAAATATGATGAAATTCTGATAATCGAGTTATCGGATTGTATTTGTGTATTTTGTATGATAGAAACACGTGTTATTTGTGTTTCACCAACAAACCGGAAGATGAATTGATAAGTTCGGGTCAAACTTATCAACGTCGCTTCATACATTATGACGTTCGGTGATATGTCTGGTTTAAAATTTTTAAGGCAGGGTTTAACGTTCTTGACGTCACAAAGCCGTGATATGGAATTTTATAAAGAGCTGATCACAGTGATACAGAGAATTTGACAACTGATAACTTGATATTTCAGTTACACTGAAAATTTAAATTCCTATAAATTTAACCAATTTTTTTATATTTTCATAGCTCTAAACATTTTACCTTTAGTGTAATTCAATGGAAACCACGTATATCATGAATTGTAAATGTATCACCTTTCTACATGTAAATTTTCAACCAATGTAGTGACGTTCTGGAAGTCAGCTTCACCTGTTATTATCATTTGTTCACTAATATTATTTTTTGTCTAATTGCCTGTCCAATGTATCTTATTATTTATTGATATCCTTCATAGTTTATAAACATCTGTTAATATTTTGTTCTGTGTCTGTTGTCACATTGTAGCAACAAACTTTACACATCGATAAACAACTAATCTTTCAGGAGAAAGGTTTTCAATTCATACTGACTTCCTTTTGTCCAATGTGATTATAACTTGCAATAATATTTGTCGGGTTTGATAGTTAAGAAGTTGTCATATTATGTGGCTTGACTAATGGTTTAGGGCCTTGCAAAATTATATGCCTAAATTAAAACTGTATAATAATATTACTTTTCTAAATTCCTGTCATATTGATGTCTGTCGAAAGTGTCATTTAATTCATTAATTGTTGTTTATATGATATAAACATTTTCAGTATCTGTTGTTCAATATTACCAACAATATTTATCATTCAACAGAAAAGTTTTCAATCATAATGACTTCCTTTTGTCAGTGTGTTAGGCAGTTTTTAGTGTAATTATTCCATTATATTGTATTATAATGCATCAACATGCCAATTTTTCTCTAAATTACAGTTCATAACGCCAACTTAAATGGAAAGGTAAAACGATTAAAAAATCATCCATTTTAAATTGACATCTTTCTTAATCACCAAACGTGACGCTATCTGTCATATCACTTTAATTAAAGAAGACTCTTTTATCTAATCAAACATGTCAATTCCTGCAAAAAATGGAGTAAAGAACATTTTTGAAGATCCACTTTTGTCAGTTTTAGAGTTTGCACTGTAGCTCTGAATATATAATGTCAATTAAATTAATCTTTTAAAAGGAATTTGTCATCAAAGATAATTTAACATATCGGCAAGTTCTGAAAATGAAATACTAAATTTTTATTACATTTAGTTATATCTGTTGCAACTTCCATGACTGGTCCATGACACATAGAATTTCAAATAAAAATGTTCATCTGGGCCACTAATTTTTCTACTTAGCAAGAAGTCTTCGATTCGATATGACATGTTTTTGAATGGTAAGATACTCTCATTTTTGTAAAAAAATCTTTACTCAGTCCTGACAAATATAAAAATGTATTCGATAGTTTTAATTATCAGAAGATTTTTTAAACTATTTTCAAACTAACCTTATCTGATATTCTAAATAACTACACTAAAACGTTTCCTGAAACATTTATTAATGATCTGTTGTCTTTTGCTGATTATGAAAAATGCCTTCCATTTTTTTAAGATCCAGGTATGAATTTCTAAACAACCATAAGGGATTGCTAACTTTTTACATGTTTTTAGCATATTTGAAATCATGTATTTGTCATTATTTAACAAATATGTTGCATAGTATAGATTATTATGCGTACATTAGTCAAGCCGAAAGAATGAAAGAGGAATTCAGACCATCCGAATCTTAAAAACGTGATAATAACAAGTAGAAAATACTTACAGACACAAAGTCACATAAGGATGATACTTGTAACGGGTGACACTGAATTATACAGTTTGAAATAGCTTAACATTAAATAAGAAGACACATATTGGCAGAGCGGAGATGCTTACCCCTTAAATGAGTTTGACGGTTAGTCCTTAAAAGTGAAAAGCAGAAGATGTGATAACTTGAATAAGTATGAAACAAAGCCCCAGGACGGATGGTTTTATCAACGAAAGAGTTACTTAACCTTCAGATGAGTTTTACATTATTCAGGTCACAAGACGGGTGATAACCTTTGAAATGAGTTTGACATAAGTTGCTTAGTCTTTAGTTTTCTATGTTGTGTCATCTGCACTATCGTTTGTCTGTTTGTCTTTTTATTTTTGGCCATAGCGTTGTCAGTTTGTTTTCGATCTATGAGTTTGACTGTCCCTCTTGTATCTTTCGTCCCTCTTTTAGGTGATGATAATAGGTTTACTGGTTCTGCGCTATGCATTTACCCCTTCTGTTATTATGATTGCAGGAAGGGTGATGCTAGGTGAGAAGGAGATGCTGACTCCGTAGATGTGTTTGACCTGAAACATGACGGATGAAACTGAGAGAGAAGAATAATCTTACTCTTGTTTGAACGCTGTATATGTGAACAAAAATTAATCTTATATCAATAAAATTATGACAAGACTTTTGGACAAACTTCGAAAATAAAAAAAGGTATTAATTAAATCTTACATGATAAGCCATAATAGTCTTAGAATTGCGACCTGCCATAGTATTTAAAAATGAATAAAACGAATACAAAACGGTAATTTAATACAGTTATGGACACTGATAAATTTCATGTATAATATGTATAAAAACATTTTTTTAAACATTTCAATTTTTTTTGGGGTAAAATCAAGATCATTAACATTATTTCATGATGACAATATAGAAAAGGTACATATACATACATTATATCTAATACTTATACTTAGTTTAGTACGCCTTTCAATGTATACTGATTTTTCTGAGTAAACCATACCGTTGTATTTCTTGAGTTTTTAAATCTGGTACAACTAGTAGTTATTATGACAGTTTGCCACGAGGAACATTTTTTCCTGGTGACCTTTTGTTTTGAACAATCTTGTTGATATGATAGTGTTACCACTGACAACAAAGCAGTGCGAATGTGAATGAACACACTTGTAATCAAACATCTACAACTGAGTTATTTGACCTTTTGTGATCACCATTGACAATATTTGTTTTCTCTTCATCTTTCCTGGAACTCTTTGGAGATTTGAACTCTATGTCAGAGCGAAGTGACAACGTTTGATTCAATGTTAATGTCATCCGTCTATTACGTGAGGTTAACCGTTCACTTACTTGCCGACGCCATGTTCTGCGCAATTTCCCATTTACCTGAAGAGAAATATGATAATTATATGGAGTATGTAAATATTATTAGAATAGTTATAGCGTTTCAGGTTTCTAGCAGTCATATTATTTCTTAAATGTATATTTTCTGGAAGCCTTTTTTATCTGGCAACTTTTATGGTAATTGTTATTCTAAATATTTATTGATTTGTTTCTTTAATTATTGATATTCGTTTACTTATCTACATAAACACTGATAAAGACCTTGCTACCGATCCACATGGAAGGAATAACGATTGCCAATTGTGCATATTTAGCGGTTTTTGTATTTATTAGTTTACAATCAGTTTCATTTCTGATTATTATTTTCTTATTAGTATTGTATTGTGGAGTTTGGAGTTATAACACTGTCGTACAGTTTGCATTGACTAATCAGATAATTGTCTTTGGGTACACTATTGCATTCATAATTATATGTAAAAGCAAGGACAGTTAATTGACAATGAAACAACCACAGTAAAAGTATGTAAACAAATACAGTTCTCCATACGGACTTCAGCAATGAGCAATACCCATACCGCGACAAAGGACACATTGTACCGATCTAAGAGTGTTTGTAGATACTGACACTAACTTTAAACTTATAAATAGATTATGTCTTCAAAAGTACTCACTTCATTGTTTAAAAAGCAAAATATCAGTGCGACGAAAAAACCCTGCAAAGATAAGAATAACCGTTGTTAAGATATAAATTACCATTCACTTGTATTAAACTATTCTTACGATACTATTAGTAAAAATATTAGCTGACAATGTTTTTTTATAATTTAACTGGTGTTGGACTGAATGTCTTTTTATCGTTTATTCATGTTCGATCAATGATAATGTTACGTTGTGAAGAACTAGACTGATTCCAAAACAAATACACAGAAGATGATATAATAAATATTCTATAGAGTTTTTAACAGCCATCATATTTTTCAGTTTGATTGATTAATATTTCCACAATCGGTTTTCAAATAGGAAATTACTGTACACCCCAAATGGCAAGTTTGACTTGATATTTAATGACGCAGAATGCATACATAATTTATATTCAGCTTCATAATAGTGAATTTTCCACTTCTATGTAACAACATTCCAGCAACGCCTGCATATGGAGTTTATGTCTCCCATTTGGTTTCCTTTCATGTTTTCCTTGATAGAATGTTTATGCTTAAAAGGATGCTTTCAAACCAAGAATTCAATGTAGTGAAGATGGAGTCATTCCTTCTAAAGTTTTACGGAATCACGAATTAGTTGATCGTAAATGAATATCTGCTTCACAGATATTCCACGGCAGTGTTCCAAAAAATGATAACACTTTTTCTGGATTAACCTTCATCAGGAACGCTCATAGTAAAGCTGAATATTTGAAAGCATATGATTTTTATATCCGAAACAATTGAAGAGCTATATAACCAAAAGAGGATCTAAAGTAATAGCCAAAGGCCAACTTTGCCCGAGGAAGTTAAACCCATAGCTTCTTGATAACTTCTAACTTCATACACGGACAATTCAAGAAAGGATTGTTATAAATCATACAGAAACCGAAGTGCTGACTACTGAACTGATACCAGCAGCAGCGGTATCGACCAAGTGCTGTCACAATGAAACAATCCTTCATAAATTTCATGCGTCTAATTGTTGTAACCACAATCACGTCCTGTTTTCATCGAATGTGACATCATCAATTTAGTCTTATTACCTAATTTGTACTTACATGAGCAACACTTTGTTTGTCACATGTGGAATAGAATCTGTTTACCTTTTCGGAGCACCAAATGGTGGGGTTCGTGTTACTATCTTTAGTTCTCTATATTGCTTTTGTAGACTGTTTTGTGTTGTTTGGTCGTTTTTCGTTTTTTGAAATGGTGATGTCAGTTTGTCTACGACTTATTAGTTTGTCTTTTGTATTTGCCGCCTCTCCCTTAACAATGACACAAAGGAAAAACATCGTGCAAAGTTGTGTAATTTCACTTTCAGATATATTGATGGAGGCCTGCAAAACGTTATGATTTCAACTTTTTGATTGTCAATTTCCTTTTCCTTAATTTTCAATACTTTACTCTCATATATGTGCAAATTAAGCGGACTTTATTAATATGTGTAGGCTTTTGACTAAAAAACATACCTCCAATCGACTTTTGAGAAAAACGGCTGAAATCTACACTGAAAAGATTTTACGGTCACTTAGATCTCTAGATATCAAAATAGTCGTCTGATCTGTGAATTTACCGATTGACACATTGTTACTGATGATGGATTCGCATGGACGGTAATAAATAGTATGAGACTATAACCCTGTCGAAGCATACATTCTCGCTTTTTAGAGTTCATGCGAATCCCTTATTACCTTCAAAATGGATTTATGAAATTCGCACATCGATAAACTAAAGAAACTGTTGTTATAACTTTAAAGCTAAAGATACATATGATTGATCAGAGTGACATAACAAGTTTTATATAGGCATATCAAAATGTTAAAGCGTACCTCCAAAAAGTAAAATCACAAAAATACTGTACTCCGAGGAAAATTCAAAAAGGAAAGTCCCGAATCAAATGGCAAAAGCTTAAACACATCAAACGAATGGATAACTACTGTCATATTCCTGACTTGGTACAGGCATTTTCTTATGTAGAAAATGGTGGATTGAACCTGGTTTTATAGCTAGCTTAACCTCTCACTTGTATGATAAATTATCTATACAAATAGTAAATCGTTCATATTCCATCCCACCATTTTTATATAGGCATTTTAAAATGTTAAGGCGTACCTGTAAATTATCTACACAAATAGTAAATCGTTCATATTCCATCCCACCAGTTTTTGATATTGGAATCCGGTATATTGTTACAAACAAATGCACCCCAAATAATGGTATTAGAACAAAGGTTGCTTTAACTGCTCGTCTGAAAAGAAAATGCACACACAATTATATGAACATAAGGAATCGTTTTCTTTTATTACCCAAAAATAGTACAGATGATGTAACTCAATAACTGTTATCATGAATTTGTCTTCCGGTAGTGTGGAAATTGGAAGTGTCACAAAAACTAAAATAACTAGCTGCATCAACATTTGAAAATACTATTTGTAACAGAAACCATCGAAAATGGTGTGTTTGAAAATGTCTATACGACTTGTTTTGCACTATTATTTCATTTAGATATGTTTTTGTATGTTACTTTTCTTTAGATCTTGATTCTTCTACTTATTGAGTTATTATATATAGATTCCACCACTGCAACAAGTGTGTTACGATATTTTTCCACTCGAGACAATTGAATTTTAATATTTAAAGCGCTAGGATTGCCTAGCTTTTTTAAATAATTAACATGTAACTGTTGAGAGTTGATGGATATCGTAATACACGAGCTATAGTGGTGGCATCTGTCTCTGTAATGATTTTTATACTTCCTTTTCAAAGATTTGCAGATACTTGTGTTCTATAGATGTGACGTCATCAGACATGGTCGGATTTTTCATGACATCACAATAAGAAATTCAGAAGAAACCAAGAAAGATTGACGTCATAATTAAATTTCGACCAATCATTTGCCGAGAACAGATATTTCACTAGTAAGGAGAACAAATTTTTCACAATCGGTAAGGAAATGTGAAAATAGTGAAAAAATTGGAGAAAAGGTAATATACATTATCAAGCTTTAACCACATAAATTGTTCATCATAAACACCTATAGAGAAATATATTCTAAGTAAAACATGAACAGTTATTACCTGAAATTACTTGGTTCGTTGGGATGAGACTGCATTTGTGTCAATAAAATACGAACTATATTACAAAGGAATAGCAAATTGGCCTGCAATAAACGAAATAATTTAATGTGTCTGTCAATAATAAACAATATATCAATGTATCCATTTTTCTAGTGATCATAGCCGTTTGTGGCTTATGTATACACAAGCGAATGTATATTCAATGTGTTAGTTTTCGTAGTTAAGAAAGAGGCGGAAGATACCAAGAAGACATTTAGAAAAGTAAAAGAGAAACTGAGAACGACATTGAAAAAAATACAACAACAAAAAACGAGAGACGACAAACAGACAATCAAGTCTACAAAACATTACATAGACATCTTATGAGTAAGCAAATCAAATCCCATCAACAAACAGACAATCAAGTTTACAAAACACTACATAGACATCTTATGAGTAAACAAATCGAATCCCATCAATAAACAGTCAATCAAGTTTACAAAACACCACATAGACATCTTATGAGTAAACAAATCGAATCCCATCAATAAACAGACAATCAAGTCTACAAAATACTACATATACATCTTATGAGTAAGCAAATCAAATCCAAACAATAAATAGGGGTTTTCTCGTGTTTTCCGAATGGATTAAAAGATGGTAAATACAAATTTGGTGAACAGATTTTCAAAGTGTAAAGAACATGAAATGATATTCAAAATCTATTTTCGTTTCATTATATTGAAAAATTTCCTTTTTATCGACGCAGTGATGTTCATTATTTAAGTAGATTATCTTATAATGTTTAAGTCAACACTCATAAATAATTAAACCTACCATAATGAATACAAGATTTGGTGTGAACATTATCCATTCTGTATACTGAAAAAATATCGACCAGCAACTGAAATGATTATATTTTTATTAAGTATTTTACAAAAAACATAAATCCTTAACAAAACGAAGTATGAAGATCGTAATAGTCAGATAAAATATCCTTTTTTAAAATCTTAATTAATTGCATTCATGAATTAATAAAATGTTGGTTATATTCGATAGATGATTGTACAAGAATTGTCAATTACAAAACATGTATTACTTTATTTTGATCCATGCTTGAACATGTATATAGATCAATACAGAATGTTGTGGAGTTAAACAAGTTTTCGGACGCCAAACCCTCTGCTAACCCGGAACAGTGGTACACCAACAAAGAACAAGAACAAAACTAATTAAATCTACTAAAAAAGGCTTGATTTATCAGATCGACACAAAACACAAAACAAGTAACAAAAATAGTAAAGTCAGGTAATTGTTAAAAACATGAACATAACGTTACCTGTAGCTAGAATGAATAGTTAAAAACAATGAGATTACAAATGCAAGAATGAAAGACAACTGTTTTTAGAAATTGAAATAAGTAAATCAAACATTTATCTTTTAACAGAACATTGGTAAATAGTAAATGAACTTACTTTTCATCGGAATATATAACTCGCACTAATGAGTACAACGAGGCAGACAATAAAGGAATTCCTGAAAAGTTAACACTTTTTAAGTATGCATATGCTACAAGGTAATAAATAAAAACACCATAGAAATACTATAGAATCGATTAAGTCAGTCTTTCAGACGAGCCTTATCTTAATTTTCAAATTTTCAAATTTTGTGTATCTTTCATAGTAAGAAATCAGTTGTAAAGTGAACCATTGTATCCTACTACTAAAGAAACATCAATAACAAGAGATACTTTGTATTAATCATGGAAACAAAAAGTTTAGTCTGTGAAACATTGTATTATAATAGTAGACAGACATCAATAACAAGAGAAAATATGTTTGTATGCTACAGACCACTTCGATAGATGTAAATATCATAATTTACTTTACCTTCCGCATGAAGGTTATTCGAGAAACATATTGTACTCACGGAAACCATATCATTATTTTTATGACTTACCCGATTATGACCTAACATCAGATGTTTGCTTTCATTGAGTAAATTTTAGCATTACACACATTGAATATGTAATGTAAGTAAATCTTGCTAAATGCTGACAAAATAAGCAATCTTGAAAGTAGCTCGAATTTTTAGCTTCAGTAGTCAACATTATACATTTACCTGTTCAGCTTTTAGTTAATACAAACATATCTATAATTACTAGAGTACCATTATTAGAATTGACAGAGAGATTAAGGCTCATTGTTTTCAATGAGCTCACAATAAGATGTAGTTTTGTTTTGTTGGTAGCATAGTAATCCATCCATTCATTCAATTGAGACTTTGTAATGTTACAGCTGTACAAAAATGGCAATTTCGGCCTTTCATGTCTATGTGAATAAACAAATATTATTTAAAAAGCAAACCTGATAACTTTATATAGATACATACCCCATCCAAACACAGTAATGCATATTAGGGATCTAGGTGGTGAAAACGCGTTGCTTAGTAACTGATGGAGGTAAAATCCTTCACAAAACATCCAAGAATATGTACTACATTTCATAAATATTTTACAAAATGACAAAACTTTACACCAATGCTACAAGTCAAACAAAATTAAATCATACATCATCTAAACACGGCTGGTAATCTACACACGCAGAACAATCGGTTCTGCAATGAAAACCGTGAGAGGATTTTCCGGTTATGCTTGAGTGGAGTAATTGTCACCGCTTCGAAAGGTATGTACATTTCTAAATCGCAATTTTTTAATTCAACTGATCAAAATATTGAAAATCGGAGAATGCTATGCTGCGGTGAATACTTAAACGAAGAGCACATGTATCATTTACTGTTGTGCATGGAGTAAAACTCCTACAAAATCAATCGTCCCACGAGTAATTGCCGAAAAAAGTGACATTTAAATTTTGAGATGGTTCTATTAACAGACCTACAAGTTTAAATTTAGATTTTTTTTCTGTCAACGGGATTGAATATCGTTATGGGTGGCGTGTACGCTGTGCGAAGTTGATAGACGTCTTAATAAATCTAACAACTGCCAATTTTCATTATTTCATGCGTGAGGGGATCGGTTCTGATTGAGGACATCGTGAATGCGTGAAGGGAAGTGCAATCATATCTTTATATCGAAAAATGCAACAATCACTTCAAAGAAAGGCAGGTAACTTGCATAGTTTTATTGAAGTTCATACTAAATATAAATTGACAATGGAAATGGCTACAACGTAAATATAAGTGGATTTAGATTAGATTTATGATTGACTATGTTTTTTTTCTCGTGTGCATGTTTTAAGACTTAAATCTATGTTTTAGTTGTGAACGATGCAGAACAATTTCCATTTCCACAACAGATAAATTTTGGAGGTGATCTTGTGCCGCATTTTTCTTTGTGTTCCACCAATGTATGCTGATAGGAAAACTCCCCTCCACAAATGTCACATTTTAATTTTTCCGCGTGCTTCTGTCTTATATGCGCCCGGAGAAAAGTTGAAAATTCCTCCTGAAAATCATTTGTGTTACACTGCATGAAACGGCTTGGCTCCAACGTGGACCACAGATTCATGCCTTCTTTTACTATCTTTAGATGAAAATGTCTTGTCACAGTAGCTTCACTTTGTGTCTAGTGTGTTTTCATGTACCAGCTTTACTTGGAAGTTCAGCTTTGGACGTTGAGTATATGACTTATCACACTGCAGGCAATGGTGGCGTGTTCTATCCATCAAAAACATAGATTAAAGTCTTTATACATGCACACGAGAAAAAAAAAACCATAGTCAATCATAAATCTAAACCACTTATATTTAACGTTGTAGCCATTTCCATTTCCATTGTCAATTTATATTTAGTATGAACTTCAATAAAACTATGCAAGTAACTTGCCCTTCTTTGAAGTGATTGTTGTATTTTTCGATATAAAGATATGATTGCACTTCCCCTCACGCATTCACGATGTCCTCAATCAGAACTGATCCCCTCACGCATTCACGATGTCCTCAATCAGAACTGATCCCCTCACGCATGAAATAATGAAAATTGGTAGCTTTTAGATTTATTAAGACGTCTATCAACTTCGGACAGCGTACACGCCACCCAAAACGACATTCAATCCCGTTAACAGAAAAAAAACTAAATTTGAACTTGTAAGTCTGTTAATAGAACCATCTCAAAATTTAAATGTCACTTTTTTCGGCAATTTCTCGTGGGACGATTGATTTCGTAGGAGTTTTACTCCATGCACAACAGTAAATGATACATGTGTCTCTTCGTTAAAGTATTCACCACAGCGTAGCATTCTCCGATTTTCAATATTTTGATCAGTTAAATTAGAATATTGCGATTTAAAAATATACATACCTTTCGAAGCGGTGACAATTACTCCACTCAAGCATAACCGGAAAATCCTCTCACGGTTTTCATTGCAGAACCGATTGTTCTGCGTGTGCAGATTACCAGCCGTGCTAAATGTGACTAATATATTCTACACTTTAAAAGAAATGCAATTTTCCATACCTTACAATATATATGTATTAAAAAATAGTTCCGATTAACTTTGAAATAATAAAGTTAGAAACTGAAAAAAGCTTGTAATCTAATAAGTTATACAATAACACATGCACATATGTGTAGGATTTGCCAAAAATTTACTGATTGATTGTTAGTATTTAAAGCCATTTTGAACACGTTTGGCAATACAATTCCTGCCAGTTATTTATTGATGCAATACGCCGCCGAAGTATCCGGGTGGTAAGAAAACTGGCAATATTAGTCAATGAGGATCATAAGCGGGCTTCGAACTCACAATCATCAAAACAAGATTTGAAAATCGATCCTGAAAATTATACTTGTGTACTAAGGTTTCAACTCAATCAGGCAAAGATGACCTTAGATGGATATAGCTATGTTTTGAATGTCCTTTTTGGTAATGTTGCTGTTCAACTGTTTCAGTTCTAATACATCCTTGGCTTTCGAATATTCGGTTATGAGCGTTTCTGATGAAGGTAAATCCAGACAAAGCCTTTCGTACGCATGAAATTTATTAATTGTTGTTTTCATTTTTTTGTTTGAGAAAGAGTTTTATTGTAAACTTACCGTATTTTGAGCTAACGTCGTTGTATAGACCGTATCATTTGAGAGTTTATCGTATGTAACGAGCACATCCCACAGTACTGATGCAATTTCTTTCAATAGTAATGCCAGGAAAAAGTGAATATGAAGTCGTATTCTACATTGCTTTCTTAAAGAACTGGAAATTAAAAAATCTTAGAGATTATTTTAATATATGTTTTTCTAAGTCTTTCTAACAAAATAAAAAAAATAATAACAGACCAGTTGGTTACGTTTTTATTATGCCATGTTGACGTCCTTTATTTATCATCTGTAGATTGCACAATAAAGGCCATTTCAAAAGAAAATACCCAACATTTAACTCTATTGTATCGGTTAACACACAACAACAAAAAAACAAATAAATATTGCTGTATAAAAGCATGCTTGCATTTAAGGAAATCTAGCTTTCTTCGTTCATACATGCAACGCAAATAATATAAGAAATGCCATACAAAAATGTCTGTATTTACTGACAAATTGCTTTCTGTGCGCTATTATAAAGTGACGAATATATTGGAGAAAAATATGTCGGTCATAAGCGAATTAAAAGTTAAATTGGAGAAAATCTTAGTACTTTTATCGAAGATAGTAAAGTCATTATTAGATTTAGTAAGTTGTTCCACAGAGAACAGATTATGAACAATCCCCAATTTATTATGATAGGCACGTTTTCCTTTCTATTAATCTCTATAAAGTGTATTATTTTCTGTAATAAGATTTACAAAGAAATCATTATGACACGTTTTTGTGTCAGATGAACGTATTGTTGTTTATCCATACTGGTAATTACATTATTTGTGAATAATGTATGTTGAACTAATGCAGAACTTTCATACAGATATATTAATAATTGTAGGGGAAGTATGATTCACATCATGACAAAAAAAATAGTTCAATAGTATTTGTACAAGTTATGTTTTAAATTCGGTCTATGTCGCAAGTTTAACTGTTTGGCTATTGCATTCTGTCGTTCAAATGATTAACATTCTGGCTATAAAGCTAGCTGTTGTTTTTGGATCTCAAAGTTAAAATATCAAACTAACATTATAACGTTTTATTCTTGTTTTTATTTAACACCTTTAAATACAAAAAATGTTGAGGTTTAACTTCCGACTATTTTGATTTGAGCGCCACTGTTTAGTCTTCTGTGGACGAAACGCGTCTGACGTACTAAGTTACAAGCGAGGTATCTTTGGTGAGCTTTATCTGAATATCATTTCATAAGGTTTGAAGAAGACTATCGGCACTGTGACACTATATTTGTCCATCAAAGGAAATATCATTATCCAGTAAGGGTAACAAACATTGAGATTAAAGAATCTAAAAAATAACCTTAAAACTAATATAAGAGAAATAAAGCAAAATAAACTATAAAATATTGCAAAATAAAAAGGAAGATATCAAATTTAGATCATAAATGTACTAATTCAAAATATTGAAATCCATGATAACAATACCATACTTACTTGTATTTCAGAAAAATTATCAAAGCTGGCAACAATAATGATATGCTTGATGCACTGCATGCAATGCCTATATAGACTGACGTCTTCAGTTCCTGTCAAATATAAATAATTGTATAAGTAATATCAGTTGAATAGGAATAGTATACGGAAAATATAATGGTCAACAACAACATTTCAATAAACAAAGGCAATGGTAGTATACCGTTGTTCAATAGTCATAAATCAATTTAACTGAAACAAATCCGGGTCACAAACCAAAACTGAAGAAAACACATCAACTATAAGAGGAAACAAAATGGAACAACAGAAACAATGAACCGCTACAAAAACAAACGCAAACATACATAAAAACGGACTATGTGATAACAATTGCCATATTCCTGACTTGGTACAGGACATTTTAAGAAAATGCCAATGACAGCAAAACAAAGATATTTGTGGGGAGTTACGTATAGTTATTTAATTCCAAATAGGTTCACATCAAGATATAAGAAAATATTCAAAGAATGAAATGATGACTCATTATCAACAGTCAATTTAAAGGAGTTAATACTTTACAGTATGGGTGTTTCTCATTGTTGAAGCTCTTGCTTGAAGCTTTTGATGTTTACGTCTTTGTTTCGGGTTACGGCGGATTGTTGACGCATATACCACCATACGACATCTTCTTATATTTATTTTAGATGTGATATAATGTAGTTTAATCTTTATTTAACGGTCTTTTAGTTTAAGCTCATTTTGATATTATATATAATTCAATCAACTATAATAGGATTAACCGACAAGTTTAATTGAATCAATCAGTTAAATGTGTGATTTAATTTGAGTATATTAAAATACTAGTCCAATCAAATCATATCTAAAAATTAAAAAAACAAAAAAAAGAAGATGTTGTATGATTGCCAATGAGACAACTCTCCACAAGAGACCAAATAATCTGTTTGTCTGAATAAGAAGGGGCAGTTACATTTATCAATTGTAACTTTTGATTGACATTCTTTGTATATATTCAGTCAACGGGGATCCTTACGTTCAAATTTATCGACGAAATTTAAAGATTTTTTGTACTTGATAAGGACAAACAGCAACGAACACCACGTGATTTAGAATGCATGACTTGATAGGGACACCAACTGTGGTTTGCTTGAACTTATTTTTCATGCAGGCATGCCTTCCAAAATTTGGCCTATTTAGACCATATGTTGTTAAGCTAAATTACAAAATATACCTGCACAGCGCAACTGGCAAGGAACTTGCACTAAGAAATAAAATAAAGCACATATTTCGGGAAGCAGGGTCAAATGTGTTCGCTAATACATAAAGGTAGTTGAGGTATACGTAGCTTAACCTGTCGATTGAATACTGACGGAAAAGTTGGAAAAAAAGTAGTTACCACAATCATGTATCATGAGGTCATATCATAAAATTAATTGAAATCGATAGTATTTGAGGGAGTTTTTTTTTTAATTTTAGATTCAGAAACTCCAACAAAAGAACAAAATCCACTGAATTAATGAGTATATTACGCATGCAGCCCCTGTAATTGCAATCAGTAAGAAATTTTCCAACTTTACATATACCATTTTTAAATGATATATTTTGATTTTTTTATATATAATTTTATTTACGATATTAAGGTAGTGTGAAAAATACCGTTTCATAATAATCTTTAACGTGAATTATATATTTCGAAACAAGATGCTGATAAAGTGTGCAATAAGCAAGCCACTGGTAGCAGTAAGAGGAACAGTGTCTTTAAAACGGGATGTTAGTTATGACAAAGTTGAAGTCGTCTTTTTTTGACATATAAATTTGTTTCAAAGTTGCCAAAAAAAAAGGGCCAACTTTATTATTATCACTTTTCGAGTTCATGATTAATTTTGGAAGTAGGACACAACTTATAAATTCTATAGAATGTTTCTTACAGTACTCATGTTTAGCATCCAGGAAAAAAATTTACCAGATGTACATAACATGTTTACTCGCGTAGTGGAATTAACCATATGTGGATTCTAAAACAACTCTAAAGAACTTCAAGATAACTTTAAATCTCGATCTTTCCCTGATATTAATTATATCAAAACTTTTAATTTTTCAACCCTGTTTATCACCATTCCCCATGTGAAATCGAAAAAGCGTCTAAAAGAAATAATCCACAATATGTTTTAATATAAACATGGTAGCATACGTTATACATTTATAAATTTGGGATACCATACGGCATATTTTGTTAATAGTGAACAAAAAGGTAAAACATGCTACACAGAGGAACAAGTGATCAGTATGTTAGAGTTTCTTATTGACAACATATTTGTTGAATTTGGAGGTAGACTTTTCAACAAATTGTTATATGTATATATATATTGATGATGTTCTTTCCATTAACAAACCAAACTTTTCTGATTGGGTTCCATTAATATATCCTCCAGAACTAGAAATTTAAGAAACAACAGACACAGCTTCCTACGCCTCATTTTTAGACTTATACCTCGAATTTGACATAAGTGGTCATCTCAGTACCAGGATCTATGGCAAACGAGACGATTTTAAATATCAATTTCCCCACCTTAGTAGCAATATACATACTTCACCTGCATATGTGATATTTCACCCAACTCAGAACGTCTCGTCCTTTTTCTACAAAAGTTCATCGGAAGATACCAAGACCCTGTTGATAAATATTCCGTATCAACATCACAAATAATCCATGATGGTCTTGAAGTATAGATTCTAGGTACTGATGTTAATGATCATATCAATTACGTGTTATAGTGTTCTTTTATTTGTCTTTGTAAATTATTAACCTTTACTATTTAGTCCATTTTTGTTAATATCCTTTTAGGTGACTCAGTACTTATACATCCCGCCATTGTGTTTTTGTCATTTTTTGTATTCTTGTCTTTCATTTCTGCGTATGTGCTTAGTCTATATGTCATTTTGTTTTTCTTTGTTGAAATATTTGTTTGTGTTTATAGTGATTAAGATTATAACACGATGTTGACTGCTGTGCCCCTATTTTTGATATTTTTACCTATAATGACTGTTTGTTTTGTTCACACATTGTTGTCAATATAATGGAATTTTATACGCAAGGAAATGTCTGTACCAAGTCAGGAATATGACAGTTGTGTTCCATTCGTTTGATGTGTTTGAGCTTTGATTTTGCCATTTGATCAGGGACTTTCCGTTTTCAATTTTCCTTGGAGGCCGTATTTTTTTGTTATTTTACTTTTTACAAAACAATTATTTTTGTTACATGAAGATTATCTTTTTGATAATCATAAGTTTTGATAACATTTTTGTAAAAATCCCAAATGGACCGACTCATGCAATATATAATGGATTCTGTTCCTATTAAACACAACTTAATTACTCTAAATGGCCTTTGCTTCAATTGATTGTTGCTCTCCATTGAAATCGAGAATCTCGTCAGTTGGCGCCACGTTATTCTCCCGGATCTTGTTATTTACCATTTGGTGTAAATTTCTAGTATTGATTGGGTCAACTCAGTGCCATTTCAACAAACTGGGGCGCTTAAGATCTCGTCGAACAATATATAACGTAACAACTATATAGATTGTAGATTAAGAGTTTCGAACATTTTATCAACGAGCGAATTTTACCAAAACAATGTCAGTGTCTATCTGATCCTTTAGTGATGGTATTTAACTACGGTCATCGATTAGTCATTTTTTTCGACCTATTTGCGGTAATGTTTCTTCCAATTTATGACGCGTTCGAAACACACCTACCAATACATGACCCCATATTAATAAGAATCATAAACATTTTCTAACAGATGTCCTAAGCAACACATTGACAACACAACCTCTTTGCATACAAAGTTTACTTTCATTTTTACATTATTTGTTTACTCTGCTTTATTTTTTGAGCATCTTGTCTAATTTTAAAATTTCTTTAAAAAAAAAAGTGTTGCAATGATTCTTTAAACTGGTGTATATTCGCACCATGTAAATAACACGATTTCCAGATTGATTCCTAATCGTAGGGCAATTATCAAAACATGTCTTTAAACTAAAGCACACAATAAAACACCTGCACATCTTCAAGAGGGGGACGAAAGATACCAGAGGGGCAGTCAAAATCACACATCGAAAACAAACTGACATCGCCATGGCCAAAAATAAAAGACAAACATACAAATAATAGTACAGATGACACAACATAGAAAACTAAAGACTAAGCAACATAGGTGCTCCGGAAGGGTAAGCAGATCCTGCTCCACATGTGGCACCCGTCGTGTTGCTTATGTTATTACAAATCCGGTAAATAGTCTATGTTTCTACATTCATGAAAAGGGAAGGGTATTGTAGTTACGACATAAGGAACATATCCGATATCATCTGTGAAACGATTATTCTATAACGGTCAACCAACTCGTGATGGCGTCCGTAAAATTTACGAAGGGATGTTTCAACTTCACCATTTGGAACTCTTGGTTTAATAGCTTCCTTGTTAGCAGCAATCCTCTATCAAGGAAATCATGATAGGAAATACAAACCCGGGAATATCGTATTCAAACTGGATGACCGCTTAATTGAAAAACGAAATAAAAATAAAAAACATAATTAAGAAAGTAAAATCAAATACAAAATGTGCTCGGAGTGCAGAAAGTAAACAACAGCTGTTGGAACGATACTGCCGCTCAAAAAAACAAACGAAATTATATAAAAGAAAAAAAAAACAAAACAAAACTCCTAACAGGTTTCATTAAGTCTCTCCATAGAATTTAATTGAAATAGATAGGATTTGTGAGATTTGTTATATTTTAGGCTTGCTTTAAAATTATGTACAGGTTGCTATTTACATTGCACACAATTATGTCTTCCTTGATAACGTTATTTTATGACTATTCTATGAACTACAACCACCGATATAAGAGTAAAGGACGTAAAATCACAAGGGTAAAGCAATTAATTACTTGTACTTGCTGTCAGTACCAGATAGGAATGTTTGATACGGTATTATATTGTTTTTCATTGTTTTGCTACACTTGATTGTGTTCTTTATTATTTTTACACAGTTATTTTAGAGCCAAGTGCTTTTCGTGTACTGATTTTTATTCGGTCTACTGATAGATTAAAATGCGAGGAATGTTATATAAACCTTCATCATGTTAAGTAAAACACGTGTTATGATGTATTCATTTATGACAACAAATTCAATACACGGACTGAAAGCAAAAAGAAAGCCTACACAAAGTAATGGAAGAACATTCGTGGCTTAGTTATTTGTTCATGTTATTATAACATTTTATGACAAGCCAAAATCGGAGTTACAATTGGATTTAAGATAGAAGAAAACACCTTCCACCGAAAAATACAATACAACATCAATAACACAGTAAAGTGATAATCCAGATACTGTAAATACATGTCGCAATATTGATAATGAAAAGATTTTTGAATAATGGTGTTATTTGTGAAAATATCATTATCCTTGTAGCAAATTTCACCTAAATATAGATAAGAATGTGCTGAAGACAAAAACAATCAAGAACGGTATTTACCTTTGCAATTAAACGCCTGTTTATACCTGCATAATTAGACATAATGCTTGATAACGTATTATTTTATAAGAAGACCGTATTTATAATTGGTAGCTTGCGTGTCACCGAATAATGGACCATTTCCAAAGATTATTAACCTATTATCCGAGTAACAGACTTGTGTCACTTGATTATTTAGTTTTATTGTATTATTAACGTATTATCATTACCACGGACAGTTTCCAGGGATCATTAACCTGTTATCTGTAGGAATACAATCAGAAATCACAACAGATAATTATGAAGCTGTCAACTTGATTTTATGTCTATACTACTAAAATATCTTTTAACATATATAACCTGCATTAGAAATCACTCGTGTTTTGATGGTGCGTTTTTTTTTTATATCTGTACTGTAGTATTGTAAGAGCATTGGCAAACTGTAAAATAGTTTTAGACATTTAAAAAAAATATATTTCAACTTATTATTAAAAGGCAAAAATTCTATAAATTGTGTGACAGAAATGCAGTTTAAGCATAAGACAATATTTGTAATTCAATGTTTAATTGTAATCCATGATAAATTACCCGTTTGAACAATGCGTTAACGAAAACTACATGGAAAATCATCCTTTTATCCTTGGTTGCTATGAAAATCGTTGTTGCTAGGGTGCTCTCCTTGAGGTCCGCGCTCTTGGTATATAAAGACACCGATACATTGTGCGAGTTTGTCATTTGTATTTCGCTGTTGATGAGGAAAGCATCGATAAATTATATACAAATTAACTTCTAGAAGTCTTCACGATTGTTGCAAGCTACCGGGTTTTTCTGAAATTTCTAACGGGAATGGTCGCAGTCCCTCGAACAGGTAGTTTGTAATAGTCTGGTGACTTCGGTGCTTCGGAGACTAGGTGTCTCAGAAACTAGGTGTCTCGGAGACCAGGTGTCTTAGAACTAGGTGTCTCAGGAACCTATGGTTTTGAAGCTTGCCCTCTTATAGTTTTTGAAAGGTTATAATTGTTGAACAAATCGGTTGGAACCTCGAAGTCAGTGAAAGGATTAAGGATAAATTGAGGTTATAGTTTTTAAACTACTTTTTGATACAAAGTTAATTGTGTAAATATTGTTGTTTCTTTATTAGGTTTAAAGGTTGGTCTCGTAGTTTTTAGTAAAGCCCCCAAGTTGTAGTTAGATTTTGAGTTAATCAAAAGATTGATATTGGAGTATCTCAGATTCTGTGAAAACGGATACGAACAGATAGTTTATAAGCCAAACACGTTACAATTGTACTTTGCGGTTGAAACTATTATATTATGTATTGAAACTAGAACACTAAAATTTGATTGCATTAATTCAAACTTCAATATTTACAAAAATAAAAGCATATTAATATGCATGAATTATTTTCCAGTACTTATAAGCAAT